TGGCCGGGCAGCCGGAGCAGAAATGCACTGAGCAGGGTCCGTAGTGAGGCCATCGAGTTCGTGGCGGCTGGCAGACCAGACACAGAACAAGAGTGGACCCCACCAAGGAGCTTCCTGTCCAGGCAGTGCCAAGACAGGGCACGTGATTGAGGTGAAATGTGCCTGAGAGTGACTCTGGGGACACCCAGCTGGTGCCGTTTCAGTATCTCCTGGGTCTCTGCCCTTAATGGCCAGACAGTCCCCCTTAGAGCTTGCTTTGCACGTCCAGCTACCACCTGCCCCCTGCCTGTCCCCGGCCCCTTCAACCCATTTCATGTCCCCATAGGCCTTGGCACCCCGTGGGGCATTGGTGACCATTTGTCATCCCTCGTGGTGGTGGTGGTGGGGGAACTCAGCAACGTGGTCTTGGACCCCCCTGGAGAACTCGAATGTTCCTCAAATTCAGACTGACTTTCTCTGGGGGCATCCAGCGCCTCAGACCCATTTCTCCCGGGGCCACGTCCCAAATTAGGCTCCAGTGGGGCCGAGTCCCTGGGGACAAGGAACAGCCTTAGGGTTGTGCCCGCCTGAGGGTCTGCAGGGCCTTTGCTGGGCTTGGGAGAGGTCAGCGGCAGCTCTGGGTTAGCACGGCTCGAGCCCTTCGTGCCTGTCCCGGGCAGGGCCATCGTGCCCGGCCACCTCCCTCTGCCTTTCGGCAGCCTCGTCCACCCGTGTGGAGAGACCTCCCCCGTGAGGGTCTCTGATCCGTTCCCCTGGGAGCTAGAGCAGGCGAGGAGAGGCAGGGGCACAGAGCGGTTTGATTTGGGGGAAAGGCTGGCGGTGCAGGGAGTGGGGAGCAAGCAGGCAGGACGGGGCAGGCGGTGACGGGGCAGGCGGCAAAGGGTCCGGCTGGGCACCGGCGGGTAGTAGAGCGCGGCGGGGCCCACTCGTAGGCCACGTGTCTGCCCACGCGGGCCAAGGTGCCGTGTGGCCCAGCAGCCCGAGGCGGCGCGTGAGACGGGGGGAGGCGGGAGGCCTCCTCCGGAAGTGACCGGGGTCAGAGGGGAAGGGGAAGCCTGTGGTCTTGTGCTACCTGCCGACCCCTGCCACGTCACTCCCGAGTCAACTGGTCATAACACATGTGGATCGAAGGGTCCGTTTCCCACCACGCCCAGGACTGTGTCCTAGGAAGGGCCAAACCCAGTCACACCCTGGTGTTTCCCCTCCGCTCCGGCCAGACCCCTGCGGAGCTGGCCCCTGGCGGCTGCTCCCTGAGTCCCTGGAGCTACGCGGGCCTCTGGGAGGCGTGCGGCTCCCGCTGGCACAGGCCGCCGTGACACCCACCTGTGTATTCAGGAAAGCAGATGGTCAGAGGCGACTTCTTGATCTTCTCACCAAAGAGATCTTTCTTGTTGAGGAAGAGGATGATGGAGGTATCAATGAAGAACTTGTTGTTGCAGATGGAGTCGAAGAGCATGAGCGACTCGTGCATGCGGTTCTGCGGCCGCAGTCGGGGCGGGGAGAGCGAGACCGACAGCCGGAGGGAGACACGGACACGGGGAGAGAGAGGAGAGAATTAGGTTTGAGAGAGAGAGAGGAACCGGGCTGCTCAGCGGCCCGGGAGGGGCTCCTGTGGCCCTGCGGCGGCTCCGAAGGCTGCTGGGCGGGCAGCGCTGCCCGGTCACAGCACAGGGCTTCCCGCTCCGCGTCCAGAGCCATCTACGCGCCTCGCCTCAGGCCGCTGGCAGAGACTGGGCTGGGGACCCGCCCCTGCTCCCTGGGTACGGCTGGGCTGCGGTGATTTGGACTCTCCCCACTGCAAGGTCCCCAGCCACAGGAGGGTCTCCTTGCCCGTGTGTGTGGGTGTGTGTGGTGTGTGTGTGTGTGTGTGTGTGTGGTGGGTGGGGTGTGTTGAGCCCGGGAGCTGGGCTTTGGCCCTTCCTGTCCAGACCTTTCCTCCAGGGCTCAGTCTGCGGGTGAGGGGTGTCCTCTGGGAGCGATGAGGGCCTCCGGCCCCCTCCTGGGATCTGAGGGAAATCATGCCAGGCGCACCCTCAGGGGGCTGCGACTCGGGGGAGAAGCCCCTGCCCATGCTGCCAGCAGCAGTGCTTGGGGGGCTGGCCACCCCTGCGCTAGCTGGCTCAAACCCAGCCAGGTCTGACCCTGCGGCGAGTTTGAAGCGAAGCGGACGTGAAGTAGTGCCTCGCACACAAAAGCCCCCTCAGCGCATGGCTGCCCGGGCGAGGCCTGACTTGTTCCACTGTGGGACGCCAGGCACACGAGCTCGGGTCATGCTTCCTGGCAGTGCGGGGGGGCGGGTCTCTCTGTGAACGGACCCCTTTCTGCACCAGAAGGTGGCTTCAGGAAATGCGCCTCCCTGGGGGAAGGGTCAGCCAGCCATTTTCCCCAAGAACCCCGTCAGCCCCAGGAGTGCGTCCCCCCGAGACCCAGCTCCGTGCGTCTACGGCTCAAGCCGGGAAATGATTCCCGGCCACTCAGAGACTGAACCAAACCAGAGGGATGAGCGGAGAACAGGTGTGGGCATCACCGAGACGGACCCAGCCCCGGGGACCAGCAGGCGCCAGGAGCTTGTTCGGCGCCATGGCCGACTTCCTCTGCCAGAGCGGGCGGGCGAGGACGACGAAGGTGAAGTGACCGCCACCGGTCACAGAGCCTCTCTCTGCACCCTGCCCTTCGCCTGCCTGGCGTCATTAACCCACCCGCCCGTAGCGGGCGATGAGCGGCGGGGACTTGCACCTGGCCCGGCGCCAGGCCTGAGTGAGCTTCTGCGGCAGAACGGGTTTCCCCGGTCACCACGAGTGCTCAGTCTGTGGCCATCGGGGTCACGACGGGCTCTGCGTGTCTTCAGTCACCTCGCCCATGACCACAGCACACCAGTGACCTGTCAGGGCATCAGCCCCAAACCCTTGTTCTTGTGGGGGCACGGTTTCACTCCTTCCTCTAGGATCTGCAGGAAATGCCATCGTTCCTTTATTCTGCTAAACAAAACTCAGCAAAGTCATGTGATCTTATCACCCGCCTACAGCCTCGACCAGGGGATTTCACTTCCAGCTCCCCCAAAAGTCTGCCTGTCGTGTGCACCATCTTATTCAGGGAGGAGCGAGACTCTTGCCCGATGCCATCGTGACGACGGAGCCTGGGGCTGGGAACACTCAGGCTCGCTGGGCCACCTATGAGGGCAAAGTAGAGATGCTCCGAGACCCAAACGCCCAACAGGAAAAGGCCTCCCACCACACAGAGCCATGTCATCCCACAGCAGCTCACCCAGAGCTAGAATCCCGCAGCCAGAGGCCAGCTCCCAGCTCCCCTGCTCGCCCATGCCAAGCACTGCTTTAGTCTACAGACAGTGGGGGATGCGGTGGGGACATAAGCCTGGGGCACTCCCGGGACCACGAGGGGACCCCAGGGTGACCTGAGCTGAGAGCGAGGCCACTGAGCTTAGGTCTGGGGGAAACATCCAGGCCCAAGCCCCACAGTTCCACCCTGCACAGCCTCTTCCCACCAGCTCCGATGGGATGTGCGTGCGAGGCCCTCTGCCGGGCTGCGGCGGGGCTGCGGACGGCCAGCACGGGCTCCTGCTCTCCGAGAGCTCACAGTCTAGTTAGGGAGAGACAAGCGCGCACATTAAAAAGGTCTGCACTCCTGGGAGTGGCATAGCGCAGGTGGGGGAGGGGGGAGGGAGGGAGCAGAGGTCACACCACAAGGTCAGACTGGTTTTGTGGGGAGGAGCGAGCCTGGAAAGAAGGGCCGATGCCAGAGATGCAGGGAGGGCGTGGGGAGGGGAGCTGGTGCAGGGATGGGCCGCCGGCACTGAGACCCCCTCCACGCCCTGCAGGCCTGACTGCCATCCTTCCCCACGCGGGTTGGAGCCCGTCGCCAAGGAACCGAGCGCACAGCTTGTCCTCACACGCTTCCCTGGGGAAAACAGATGCCGGAATAAGTCAAAGTGGGAGACGTCGAAGAAGCCGGGGGGCACTGCCGGCCAGCAGCTGCCCACCTTCCTGTCCCCCTCCACTTGTCCCAGGTAGCAGCGGAGCCTAGAGCTGCAGGCAAGGTGTGTGCCAGCACCGCCAAGGACAGGGACGCGGGCTCACATGGGACAGACGAGCCCCTGCCCTCGTGACCATCTTGAGAGCTGGGCAGGGTGGCCTGTCTCCCAAATCCAAATCCGCCTGCCCCCGTGGGGTGTGCCCCTTCCACCAGGCAGCCTGCCTTCCCGGCCCCAGGACGGAGCGGGGGTGAGGCACGGCCACACGTGAGGACACGTGCCACGGGGGCCACACCTGGTCGGAGCCCTTTGGGCCCTGACACAACACACCACACTCACGCTAGAGAAGGCTGGGACTTTTTATTAACGGTAGGGAACTAATAAATACATTATGGCAGCCAATAAATTATTACAATAACTAGAGATTTATTAAACCAACGAGTCACTCTACTTACAAAATTACAGTTAATGTGGGGTGGGTGGCGGCAGTGGGGTTGGCAGGGGGGGCTTTTGCACCTAAGAAGGGTTTGCTAGGGAGGGAGAAGGCGCCCAAGCCCACCCCCGCCTGGGAGGGGGAGGGGAGCAGAGTGGCAGCAGCAGAGCGGGGAGGAGGCCGGGAGGGCAGAGGGCACGTGTAGCGGGAGCCCAGCGAGGGGCTGGGGCAGAACCCGGATGCGGAGAGGGAACAGAGGGGAGGGCCTGGCTGTGCGGGGAGGCAGTGGGAATCCAGGGGCCTTCGTCTGGCTGGGCCGGGATCTGGAGCCCCGGAGCCCCTGGAAGGAAAGCCCCACTACGCTCTCTGGGCAAGGTGGCTCACGACTTGCCTCGCTGGGGGGTGGGAAGTGGGGTGCCTGGCCCCCAACACAGGGCAGCGGCTCACACCTCGGCCCCGTTCTCTAGTCTGGCTGTTGTGTCCCGTCTCACTGCTCTGGGCTTCTGGGGGAACTGTCTGTGGGTGCTTGCCTCCGGCACCCCAGACTGAGTCTCTGGCAGCCACAGAGCCGGAGCCTCAGGCCTTAACTCTTGGGAACTGCCAGGTGGTGCCTGAGGCTTCCAGAAGGCGCAGAGAAGAGCAAAGGCAGCCAGAGAGGCTTTGCCCGCCAGGCTCCTCACAAAGCGGGCTGGACGGGCCACCACCTGGTCTGGAGGAAGGAGTGAGGCCCAGACTGCCCACCAAGAGGGCTGGAGGGTACGTGGGGTCAGACCAGGGGGAAAGGGGACGGGATCAGGGAGGAGGCAGCCGCTGGGGGAGCAGTGGGGTAAGTAAGCCCCCCACTCTCTGCCGCGGGTCTCATCCTGGCAGAAAGGAAGGGCCTGGGTGAGATGACTCCTGGGCCTTCCCTGCGGGGGTTATACACAGCCCGGTTATGGGGCTCCAGGTGGGGAAGGCACTGTGGCTGCTGCCTGCCTCGGGGGAGGCCTATTGGTGCTCAGCACGGGCGTGTCCCCACTGCCCACCCTTGGGGCACGGAGCTAGGCTGAGAGGCTGAGCTGCCTCCTGACACCAGGTAATGTTGGTGACCCTCTCTGCCTGGGCTCTGCTGGGGCCAGAGCGGGGAAGAGAGGGCCAGGGCGCTGGGCATCTACAGCCTGCAAGGGAGGCGGCCACGAAACCCAGGATGCCGAAGCTGTTGGCGAGGGGCCCAGAGCTGTGCCCTCTGCTCAGGGCGGGGGCAGGGCACACTCCGTCCTCAGGCCAGAGGCTCAACAGAGCCCCTCCGTGGGCCTCGTGTACTGCCCCCTCCAGCCAGGCCAGAGGGCCTTGGCGACCTCTCTCAGCTCTCCAGGCAAAGGCCAACACCTGGCTCTTGTGGACGCATTTGGTTCTGGGCACAGAACTTGCCCACAGGCACCGGGGTGGCAGGCACAATTTTCATGGGTTTGGCACAGATGCTCCTTCTAGAATTCATTTTCCTCTTGGCCTGCTAAATCTGAGCCAGTCAGAGAGTTTAAGCCTGGCCCCAAACACAGGGCCACTGTGGTGAAGAGACCCGCCACGTCCAGTCACTCACAGCATCTCCCCGCCCCCCACGCACGACGGAGCCAAAACACATCTGACCCCCTCTGTCGCTCCCCCCACGGTGGAGCTGCCGGTGACAACGTGAATGGGCGACGCAGTGGACACGAGAGAGTTTCCCTCTGGACACCCTGTCTTCAGGGCTCACACCCAACAGCCAAGGACCCCAGGCCCGAGTTGGGGGGCGGGGCGAGAACAGCCCGACAGAGCGACAGAGCATCTGAGAGAGAAAAAGTCGCCCAGGGGACAGAAGGCAGGAAGGCCCCAGGCACCCCCAACCCCCCCCATGCTGCTGCTGGGGAGGGGCACGGCCTGCGGTCCCGACCCCTGCCCAGAGCTCTGGTTGCTGTGAGCGACGGGGAGCCCTGGGCCCAGACGGCCAGCGACTTCCGCCTTCAGGATGATGGCCTTAGACGTGCGGCTTGGCCAGCGTCCCCCTTCTTGTCGGCTGTTTTCGAGTTTGGGGTTCACA